CCCCCCCCCGCGCGGGGTCGCGGCCTGGGGCAGGGGAGGTGGAGTGGGGGGAACCCCCTGGCGAGGGGCCAGGCCTCGGTTTCCCCATCTGGCAAAGAAAAGGGGCCTGGGAAACCGGGGGCGCTGTCATGGCAAGGTGGAACACTGCCACGGAAGTTGCGGTGTGACCTTGGTGGCTGTCTACTCCGAGCCTCAGTTTCCTTTTCTGTAGAAAGGTCCCTGTATGCACCCCCTGCCTCCCGGGGGCGAACATTAATTAAATACCCACTGTGTGCCAGATGCCTGTGTGCCTTTGAGATGGGGGGTACAGAGGCCCTGCCCTTGTGGAGATGCCTGACACCAGGCAGATCCCAGATACCCCGACGATGATTAACAGTTATGGGGAAAAATGGGGGACTAAGGGGTGGGGTGGCAGTGGATTCCCAGGGCTGAATGCAAGTGCAAAGATCCTGGGGCAGATCTTTACTTGGCACAAGGAATCCTGGGACCCGGGTAGGGTAGGGCCTGCTTCTTCATGCGTTCACCCGGGGCCCCCAGGTTAATGCTCTGCTCTTCTGTTTTGAATTTTTTTTTTTTTTTGGTACCAAGCCTTAGCTTGCGCAGCAGGTGGTGAAACCACTGAGCTAAATTAAATCCCCAGCCCTCTTTTTAAAATTCTTAAGTCATTTTGGAGCCAAGGGGCCTTGTGGTTTCATTTTATGTTGCACTGTACAAAATCTTTTAATTTTTGCTTTGTTGCTCATGGAACCCAGGGCGTTTGCACATGCTTGGCAAGGGCTCAACATGAGCCAGCCCCGGTCTTATTGGTGACAAAGGTAGATTCTGCAGTGGCTTTGGAGGGCAGTAGGGATGACTTCAGCTTTTACACTGAGGTAGATGGGAGCCATAGAAGGTTATGAGGAGAGAAAGGACCAGCCCTGGCTGCACCTATGAAAGGATTCTTCTCTCTGCATGGGGAGAATGAGGCCCAAGAGGCTGTTGAAATAAAGATGGTAAGATGGTACTTTATTATATTTTTGGCACTCATCCTGGGGGTTTAGGGAATGCAACTAGGGAAGAAGGGTAAATAAGCAACAGTTAAGGTACTCATCCCCGCCCCCAAAAATAAAAGCCCTCAGTGATCGGGGTAAATACTACCTTGAGGAAATATTTTTTAAAAATAAAAATGTATGCAAGTGGATGCTGTGTCATCCCAGCACTCTGGGAGGCTGAGGCAGGAGGATCAGAAGTTCGAACCCAATTCAGCAACTTTCAGAGATCCTGTCTCAAAATGAATGAAAAGGGCTGGGAATGGAGCTCAGTGTGAGGACTCTGGGACCAATCCCCATGGGGGGGGGGGCAGATGTGTGGCGCAGGCCTGTAATCCCAGCTACTTGGGAGGCTGAGGCAGGAGGATCAGAAGTTATGGGCTGGCCTAGACACCCTAGTCAAAGAAAAACATTTTTTAAAAAAACTGAAATAGCAATATGTTAAATAAAGGCAGGGTCTGGGGGTGAGGGCAAATCAGGGTCACTCCCTCAGGCTTAAGAACAAAGTCCTTTTTTAGGGGGTTGATTTGGTTTGGGGATGGAACCCAGGGCCTTCACACTGAGCTCCATCCTCAGCCCTTTTTATTTTTTATTTTGAGACAATCTCTAAGTTGCTAAGTTGGCCAGGCTGAGCTCAGACTTGCAACCCTCCTGGCTCAGCCTCCCAAATAGCTTGGATGACAGGTGTGCACCACACTCCCATGGTTTCTTGTATTTTGTTGTTTGTTGAGAAGCCCAGACTTGTGATGCAAACTGTTACTAATAAACCAACTGCAGCAGCGTATGTGTTTTCACTCTGCACCAGAACCCTTGGGAACCGCCATCTTGTCTATTTGAGACATGGAGAAACTGAGGTACTGAGAAGTTAATTGACTTGGCCAGAATCACACAGCAGTAAGGAGCAGAGCCAGGATGTAAGCCAGGCACTGTGCTTGTCCCTCGATCACTGTGGAGCGTGAGGGGCTGGTGTGGTGGGGTTGCTGGCTGGAAGCAAGAAGCCAAGGATGTGAGACTTTCTGTGGAGGGTACTAGGGAGCCATGGGAGGTCTTAGAGCATGGCTTCTTGGTTACTTCTGTGCTTTGAACTTCCTGGCCCAGATCATTCTATGGGGTGGGCGTCCTGGGCACTGCAGAGTGCTGAGCAGCATCGCTGGCCTCTACCCACTCCCTGGCAGGAGCTCCTGGAGTTGTGACAGCCACAGGTGCCTGCAGACTCATCCAACGTCCTGTGGGGGTCAGAGCCACCCGCACTGACTTGGAGCACCTGAGAGACATGCAGTGTGGTGCAGGGAGGGAAGTGGGACAGGCCTGGGCTGGGACCCCAGGAGGAGTAGCTTTGCGGGGAGGGAAGTGAGGAGGGAGCAGGTGGTGCCATGCACGGGCGCTCTCCCCAGCAGGCCTGGTGGATGTAGGGCCTTGGGTGCCCAGCCCTGGACTGGAGCCCCTGGCTGGCCGGCACCTGGCCTGATAACCTGGGGTGACTCGGGCTTACTGCTCAGCACCTCAGTGGCCTCACCCCAACTGAGGATCCCCAAAGGTATATCCAACGCCCACTGTGTACTAGGTCTGGCTCTAAGTGGACATTTAGAGCAGGGACCAAAGAGGACAAAAATCCCTCCCCCTGCAGAGCTGACAACCTCAGAATGTGAATCAGGGTCGCCCTCCTCTGCCCTCAGCCCTCCATGGTTCCCACCTTCCTGGGCCGAAGCCTAGACTTTCCTGGCAGCCCACAGGGCCCCGCACAGCCCACCTGTCCCCTCCTGGCTTCCCTCCTCTCCCTCCCTGCTCCCAGCTCTCTGCTGTAGCCCCCCAGGCTCCTTGCTGCTCCTGCACCATGCAGGACTCTGTCCTGCCCCAGGGCCTTTGCACAGCCATGCCCTCTATCTCAGTTCTTCCCCATATCTCCATTTGAGTGATTTCTTCATCTCTTTCCAATGTTGACTTAAATGCCACCTTCTCCATGAGGCCTCCTTCAGTTTCCTGGTACAATTCTGGCAAGGCCAGGACCAGGGTGGGCATACTTTTGCATTTCTTTCTTCAGACATAAAATTTACTTATTTATTAAAAAAAATTTTTTTTCTTCAGTCATAAAATTTAAAGGGTAAGCCAGGCATGGAGGCTGAGGCAGGAGGATCGCAAGTGCAAGGCCAGCCTGGGCAACTTAGGAACTTAGTGAGACCCTGTCTGAAAATAAAAAATTTAAAAATGGCTCAGGATATAGTTAGGGCTGAAGCCCCTGGGTTCAATCCTGAGTACTGTAAAAATAAGTAAGATAAACTAAAAAATTAAAGGATACGCCAATGATATCAGATATCAATAATAATCCAGATATCAATAATAATATCAATAATATCCAGATAAATACTTATTCTATTTTATTTTATTTTGGGGGTTTTGAGATAGGATCTCCCAATGTAGTTCACGCTGGCCTGAACCAATGGAGATCTTCCTGCCTCAGCCTCATGAGTGCTATATGACAGGCATGTACCATTATGGCTGGTTCTTTTTTTTTTTTTTGGTACTGGGGATCGAACTCGGGTCCTTGCGCTTTCAAGGCAGGCAGCGGATATGGCTGGTTCTTTTATTGTTTTGTTATTGGTTTCTGAGGGCTTGCTGTGTAGTTCAGGCTGGTCTGGAACTCAAGGTGATTACAGGCGGGCTCCATCATAACTGGCCTATGCCTGGCTCTTAAGCACTATTTTATTTTATTTTATTTTTATTTTTTGGTGCTGGGGATCAAACTTGGGACCTCTTGAGGCAGGCGCTAGAACCACTGAGCTAAATCCCCGGTCCTAACACTATTTTAATGTATTGTGTTTTTTTTTTCTTTTTGGTACCGGGGATTGAACTCAGGACCTCGCGCTTGTGAGGCAGGCATGGCACCACTAAGCTAAATACCTGGCCCTGCATTATATTTTTTATTGTGATAAAATACACAAAACATGGCCTGGTGTGATGGCTCACACATGTAATCCCAGCACTCAGGAGGCTGAGGCAGGAGGATAGCCACAAGTTCAAGGCCAGCCTGGGCTACATAATGAGACCCTGTCTCAAAGAGAAAAAAAAAAATACACAAAACATAAAATTTATCATTACAGACATTTAATACATTCACAATATACAACCATCAAGTCTAAGTAGTTCCAGAACATCCCATCACCTCAAAGGAAGCCCTGTTCCCATTGAAGTCACCCGTCCCCTCCCCAGCCACAGCACCTCCGAGTCCACTTCCTGTCTCTGGAGTCACCTGTCCTGGGCATTTCCTGTCCGTGGAGCCCACTCTGTGTCCGGCGTCTCTCACTGAGCACGGCGTCCTCAAAGTGTCACAGCCTCATTTATTTATTTATTTATTTATTTATTTATTTATTTATTTATTTATTTATTTATATTATTAGCATTACACAGGACCGGGGATTTAGCTCAGTGGTTTCACCGCGAAATTAAAGTTAGTTTTAAAAAAATCATGATGAACAAAATAGGAGCATTTTAAATAAGAACAGGGTTGAGCTGGGCATGGTGGCTCATGCCTGTAATTCCAGCTCTCAGTAGGCTAAGGCAGGAGGATTGCTGGGAGTTTGAGGCCAGCCTGGGGTACAAAGTG